GAGCCCATGAAGCTGGTGTGGGACACTGGGAGATGCTGGGAGGGTGAAGTGGGGTGAGACCGTGTTTTGGGGGAGCTGCCATGGCAAAGGGAGGTTTGGAGTGTGCTGGAACAGACTGGAGAGAGCACTGGGGGCAACGTGTGTACCGAAAATGTGATGAGACTATTTTCCCTGGGTCCCAGACGGTAGCAGAGTCCACCCAGGTGCCAGGGCTGAGCGAGCTGCTCTTCCAGGGTCACCAGGACCAGAGCGAGTTCCTTGGTAATTATGTCATTGATGATATTACCTCCTGGAGACAGCACGTCACACGTGCAACGCGGAGCGGGGAGCCGGGTCTCCTGGCCTCTCCGTAAGGACTGGCATTTCTTAGTTACTTGTGTTATGGTTGAGCTCTGCGGTTTTGCTGGGTCATCCCGTCACCGACTGCTCTGCAAAATTTCTAAGTAGGTAAGACAGCAGAAGAAGAAGCACAGAAAGGTGAAGTTATTTGCCAAAGATTACAAAAAGAAATCAGCGCAAGGCCGAAACTACAGCCTGAATTGCTTGATTCCCACTTGATTCACCCAGGAGAGTGCAGCCTTTCTCTGCTGCTTCTTTGCTGTTTACCCCAGATCTCTCCCCTCTCAGGATAGGAGCTAAAGTAAGATACATTCTTTAAAAGTGTTATTTTAAAGCTTCCAAAATAACCACACGCACATGGAGGCAGCAGCAGAACCTGCAGGAAACAGCCACGTACCAGGCTTGGTCATGTTGATGAAACCATCAACAGCATTGCTGGTGTCTCAGGTAGCCGGTCCCCACCACATCAGCTCGCCTGCCACAGGGACGTGGCTCCAAGCATATCCCTTTCTCAGCTCAGGAGCCCTACACAGCAACAGCAGCTCATCAACAAATTGCTGATCAGTCACGCAGGGTCAGGGAGTGGGAGAGAAGCCACAGCACCCAAACTGCAGGAGACAGGAGCCAAACATGAGCAGATTACACTCGGGATATGAACGCAAATGTCAGTGAGTGCCCTAAAATCTTCCACATTCTCCTCTGTTTCTCCCATCTTATTACCTAGGACTGAAATCGAAGAGCCAGGTAATACACAGACTTCATCTTCCACCTTCCCCTCCTCCTCCTCCTTCTCTAAATTAGTGTTCTTTGCATTAGAAATGTCAGAAAAAGAACCGAGGCTGTGCAGTTTTCTGCTGTTCATCCCTGGATTTTCTTCCCCTGTGTGCCAGATTCTCCCTCCTGCCTTGCACTCATGTAGTCAGATCCAGAAATACAAAGCATTTGCTGTCCTAATCCCCAACAGATTATTTAGGTAGCTGATATTTATGACGACTTTGTAAGAGGCCTCGGTGCCTGTATGTTTGTTTTTCCTTACCCAAAGAGAAACCAGACCCGTGGGTTGGCATCTAGTGTGGGCAAGGAGTTAAATTTGGGTACCGCTTTGAGAAATGCAACTTGAACCTGCACTTCCTGAACTCTCAAAAAGGTGACATGCGCTCCAAACACTGACGCCTTGATTTCGCTAGCGGAGCCAAGCTCTGTCAACAGCTACCAGCAGTTTGGACAACTGCCATGCGATAGTGTTATTAACCTTTCTCATTTATATCCAGGTCTTGAAAG